CCCCAAAACCCCAAAACCCCAAAACCCCGTATAACAAAAAAAATATTGAAATAATATTATAGCCATCCATCTTCACTTAGGACGGATATCTTTGTGTTTTGTTATTTTATCAACACAGAGTAAGTGCTAGCACTAGGCTCATTAACAGTTTATTTATTCTTAGCCTTCTCACTTTGCTAAATAACTATTGACTACTTTATATATAGACAAGTGCTTGCAGAAGGCAGTCCATAGTGTCAGATTTGAAAATACAAAATTGATGATCCCAAAATAAATAGTGAACTTTAATGAATAACATAAAGGATCAATGTTGACCTTATAACAAAATGCATCAAGGAAAAATTATGACAAAGAAAGGAAGCTCTGAGAATAGGTATGAGCCCCATAATAGGTACATGGAAGTCTCTAGAGGAGACAAACTAAGAAAGAAGGAAAAAGAAATTCCTTCTTCAACGCTTGTTATGGAAGAATATGGAATCAGCAGCCCTAAGAGCACAATGAGACAAGCCCCTGTGCTGAAAGCTAGCCATGATTCCAAACCAAGAGCAGGTCTTATGAAATCTCAGGGTCTGAAAGAAACGAATTATATGACACCTATAGGAAGCTTAGCGAAACAAAGCAAGGAAAGAATCTCTACAAGAGGAAGATCTGCCCATCCCTCTAGAAGAGCATATGAAGAATCCAAAGGGCAATTGAGAAATGCCAGCTCAAATAGTCTCAGTAGGAGCACCTTAGAGACTGAAGACTTGGAACTGAAGAGTATAAGTCCTACTGAAATCAATACGACATCTGACTCTTATTACAAGTTCCTAGGGTACACTTTCATGACGGAAGCTTGGTCCAGAGAGTTGAAAGAGGCTGGGCTAGTGTCAAGCAATGTTGCATGGCATCTTGGAGAAACTGTGAAGCTTTTAAGACAAGAGTGTCCAACAGTAGCATCGAACCTATCCTACAAGTATCACTAAAAATTTCAATTCATTTATCTTTAAAAGGGGTTTTGGGGTTTTGGGGTTTTGGGG